TATCTATCTATCTATCTATCTATCTATCTATCTATCTATCTATCTATATATCTATCCATCCATCCATCCATCCATCCATCCATCCATTTATTTTTCAGCTTATCTGTCTCTATTTCTATCTCTCTATCAGACCAGCAGCTGCCCTTTTAACTACACACCCTATCAGTTTCTTCACAAACCTACAGGTTTCTCTGCTGGCTCGAACTGGGATTTCTCAGGGTTCAAAAGAAATCTCTCTCTTGCAGGTGAGCTCCGATCCCTCCATGTACATTGAAGTGGAGAACGAGATCACAACCGTGGGAGGAGCCAAACTTAGCAGACTGAAGTGCAACCGAGAAGGGAAAGAGTGGGAAACGGTGCTCACCAGCCAAATTCTCTCTGCGGCGGGGAGCTGGTAAGCTTAGGAGGGTCTGAGGAGGTGCGCAATAAAGAGAGAATGCTCAGGTGCCCAGTCTCAAAACTTGGGACATCGGATTAAAAATGCAGTTTCACAGTTTCTCTGTCCTGGGATGAAACTCCCTGAATGACCACCCCACACAGAATCTAATATTTTGGGTCAACTATCTGCATTTTAAGCCTTTCTCACTCACTTCTGTAAGCAAATGATCCAGAATCACCTTTGCATGATTTTTCTATCGTGGAAGCTGGTTGGTTTTTTGTTGTTGATATGCCTGGTTAACCTGCATGTTGATTTTTATTTTGGCTTTGTTTGTCTGGATTCCGGCAGTTACCCCAATTAAATCACGAGTCTTGAGTCAAACTTCCAAAATCCCTTTCCTCCCCCCCCACCCTTCCCTTTCTGTTGGCAACTCTAAAAAGACTAAAGAAATATTTCATGAGTTGACATTGTTATTGTTTTGCATGCTGTTGAAAATAGTTGCTGGAAGAGTTGAGGAATGTGCCTTTTTCTTTTAGATTTTTTAATCCCCACCTTTATTATTTTTATAACAAACTTAAGATGGTGAACATAACAAGCACTCCTTCCTTCCTTCCATTTTCCCCACAACAACAATCCCGTAAGGCGAGCTGGGCTGGAGAGAGAGGGACCGGCCCAAGGTCACCCAGTCAGCTTTCATGCCTTAAGGTGGGATTAGAACTCCCAGTCTCCTAATGATTGGCCGAAAGTTCCCCAGCCAACTTTCATGGCTAAGGCTGGCCGGGTGACTCCCGGTGATTGTTCCAAAGTCACCTGGCCACCTTTCATGCCTAAGGCAGAACTAGAACTCGCCGTCTCCGGAGGACTGGCTGAAAGTCCTTCCGCCGGCTTTTACGCCTAAGGTGGAACTGGAACTCACGTCTCCCGCTTTCTAGCCTGATGTCAACTCGTAAAACATTCCTATGTCTGCTTTCAAGTTGCCAGGGGAATCTGGAGGAGCAGTAGGGCAGTAAAACCAGAAGTACATTCCACCATTATTTTAAAAAAGATTGTAGCCAGTCTACCGGGCCTTCTGGCCTTGAAAATTCTTCATTGGAGAATGTGATTGATGACACCCGGCCTGTGAGCGTGCTTTATTGGAGAATCTGATTCATGACACATCCAGGGGGAGGGGGGAAACGGGGCCACAGGTGATAGTGAATTACATGTGCCAGAGTTGGTTTCATTTAGGTTAATGCCGGCATGTTGCTCCTGATAAATCTTTTGAGTTCTTCTTGAAGCTTGGCTTGAGTCTCACGATTTAATTAGGGCAATCGCCGGAACCCTGACAGCAAGCCAACTCTGGCATACGTAATTTATCATCACCCGTGACCCTTCGCCACTAAGTACCAAAATGTCTATTTCTCTTGTGCTTTCCTCCCCTCCAGCGAAGTGGTGAGCGTGGCCTGTGAAAAGCGGACCCTCTCCGTGTTTTCGGCGTCTGGCCGTCGCCTTCTCCCTCCCATCGTTCTCCATTCCCCCATCTCCACGTTACACTGTACAGGGTTTTACATCATGGCTCTCACAACTGCTGCAACCCTCTCTGTTTGGTAAGCACCGAACTTCTCTCTCTCCCTCCTCCAGATCATATATTCACGTCTTCCTTTGCAAAGACGTGTGTTGCGTGGAACTTGAGTTACCCCTTTTTTTAACCCCTTCCACAACTTTTCCCCTTTTAGGAACGTGCGGAAGCAGTCAGTGGTGGTGAAAGATGAGTCCCTACAAACCATTTTAGCAGGTAATGACATTCAAATCCACCTAGGACCCTCAAAATTCACTTTAAAGTTTGTCCTGGACTTACATTCATTTGTTTAGCAACTCTTCGAAGATTTCAAAGTGCCAAAAAAATTACTTAGGACTGGTCCTTGCACTTAGAACAGAACAGAACCAACAGAACAGAGTAAAATAGAATAGAATAAAAACTTTGACAATACTTTGAGCTCTAAGTACATAGCGCTTATAAGCAGTATCCTGAATGACAGGAAGTGAGCTTCCTATGATCTTCTCCACTGTCCTCACCACTCTCTGTAGGGACTTTCTATCAGGCGCTCTGCTGCCACCAAACCAAACAGGGATGCAGCTTGTTAAAACACTCTCAATCGTGGCTCAGTCAAAAGTGGCCCCGGACAGAAGGAGAGAGATGCGCTCTCCTCTTCCGATGCAGGAAATGCAGACGCTGGTTTGCACGCTTCGCTAAAGATAATGCATGAAGAGACTTAGGGCTGTTGCCAGAAGCATCCCCATGATCGTGTGATCAAATCTGGGGTGCTTGGCAACCAGCCTGTGTTGTTTACAACAGTTGTGTGTTCTAGAGCGATGTGATTCACTTAACAACTGCATGGCTCATTTAACAACTGGAGCAATTTGCTTAACCATCATGGCCCAAAAGGTCATAAAATTGGCCTGGCTTCCTTACTCACCGCTTCCTGGGCAGCAGAAATTCTAGTCACTATGGTTGTTCAGCAAAGAATATAGTCATTAAGCAAATTTGGCTTCGCCCATGAAGTCAGACATGAGCTGGAATGGTGACAAGTGGTAATCACGAAGTAAGTACAAGGACTGCATGTAGGTTGCCCTTTTCAGTGCCACTGTAACTTCATATGGTCAGTAAAATGAACAATGGTGAGTCAAGGACAGCTTTGGAAGCCATATTGAGACCAGATACTCCCACGCGGCCACATTTTGAGCCTGAGGAAGGGGGAGGGGGGAATTTCTCGGAGTGTATGTAGCATTCTTTTTCTAATTCAAGGTCATGTTATTTTGCGCCTAAGTGAGGGGAAGTCTCAAGTTGGGACGGATGGTGATTGGGCCATGTGATGCGATGAGGGGTGCATGGGATGGATTTTGTAGTTTTTACTTATTGCAAGGAAGCCCGGAATTTTCAGATGTGCCAGTTTACTATCCAAATAAAAAGAATTTTTGAGAAGATGCCCGTCTCGGAGTTATTGGTTGGAGTAGAGGGGTTGCTGGAACACCTGTCCCCTGCCGGTCAGCTGACAAGACCCACCCCCTGTTTCTGCTGCCAAGAAAACTGATGGGTATGTTTGACCTTCGCAGGAAGTGAAACCACTGTCTCTCAAATCTTGCTGACTCAGCATGGCATCCCTGTGATGAATATGTCGGACGGAAGAGCATATTGCTTTAATCCTTCTCTATCATCCTGGTGAGCCCCCAAGGTGGAAGGTACAGGGGGAGGTGATTCTTTAAAGAGCTAAGCAGGATCGATCTTCCATTAACATGTCCGGGACAAACTCTTTAAAGTTCACAGGGCAAATAAGATGCAATTTTATTTGGCTCCGTTCCTGTCCTGCACAACAGACCAGGTCGACCCGTGAGCTTCCAATTAAACTTGATTTTATTGCTACTCGTGTCTTATGCTCAACTCACGGTTAGCACCAGCTCGGAATTAGATAAGGGTTAGACGGAAATTCAAGGGGACTTTGGACTTTAAACCAATTGTGGCTATGTCGGGATTCTAGGCTTGATGCCGCTCTTGACGCCGCCCTCCCGTTCTGCCACCCTTTGTCCTACAGTTCCTCGGGCTTGCTGTCAATTAGAAGAATACAATTTAAAATAAAAACGGGGAGTCTGTTTTTGCAGTTAACCAGCCTGTTGTTTTAAGCAGAGGGCTGAGCTTTGAGGTTCGTCCATTTGGCTGGATGGGAAATGAAACAGGTTCAGCTTCCAACTTGCACGTGTTTTAATTTTGCGAGGCGGCCTGTCTCTTCCCCCCACTTGGGTTAACTGTACCCTGTTCTGCCTTTCCAGGAACCTCATCTCTGACAAGCAGGAAACGTTGGCACAGTGTGCAGACTTCAGGAGCAGTCTACCATCGCAGGAGGCCATGCTGTGTTCAGGACCTTTAGCCATCATTCAAGGACGAATGTCTAAGTATGGCTTTGTCTGTCTCACTCTATCTCTCTGTCCTTAGCCCTCTGGCCACCAGGACAGGACAGGCTCTTGGCCCCCAAAAGTCTTGGGGAACCCCTACTTTGAGCTCTGAATGCAGCCTCTGTTGGAACTCTGCGGATTTTCCCCCCAAAGCTCCTCCTTACCTTCCTGTCAAGAGCCAGGGAACTCAGAAGATTCAGGCACCTCGACTCAAAATCGTTCATTTAGTGACTATTCAAAGTTACAACGGCTCTGGAAAAAAAGGAGCGTTTTTTTTTCCACACTTATGACCATTGCAGCATCCCCGTGATAACACGATCCAAATTCAAATGCTTGGCAACTGACTCCTATTGATGACAGTTGCAGTGTCCCGAGGACATGGGATTTCCCCCCCTTTGCGACCGTCTGGCGAGCAAAATAAATGGGGAGGCCAGGCTCAATTAACAACCGTGTTACTAGCTTCACAATTGCTATGATTCACTTAACAACAGTGGCAAGAAAAAGTCGTACAATGTGGCAAAGGTCACATAACAAAGGTTTCACTTAGCAGCAGAAATCCTTTGTTCAGTTGTGTTCGTAAGTCCAGGACTGCCTTTAAACAGATTTATTGCAAGCTTAAGCCCTAGACAAGAATCTGGCCAACTAACAGTCAAGGGAAATGAGCGGGAGATAAGAAAGGCATTGAAGGTGGGCTGGTCTTAGATCTCTCGTGGGTGCACAGGGACTTGTAATGCGTTTGACCTCCTCCCTCAGGCTCAGCCTGATCATCTCCTGCACTTCCTTCCATTCTCAACTCCTAAAAACTGCCTCCCCTTTGTTCCTTTCCCACAGCTCTGGGCGGCAGGCAGCCAAATTGTTCTCCATGCCTCATTTGGTGCAGCAAGAAACCACCACAGCGTACCTGGAGAGTCAGGTGGCCTCTGCCTTGGCTTTACAGTCTAGTCATGAATATCGTCACTGGCTGCTTATTTATGCACGGTACCTGGTTAAGGAAGGTAAGGAACCATGCGCTTGGTCGATAGTGTTAAAAGTCTTGTTGCAGCATGTCAGCTGTTCTGAGCAAAGCTGCCTTTTGCAATTGACCAATGGGAATATGGTCAATGCCAGTGGGGTTCCGGTTGTGCTCTAATTGTTTTAGGATTCTTATTATGGTTGTCTATACAGAGATGTTCAGTCTGCATTTTGTTCTAAGTATCGAGTCTAAGGACCTGGGATAAGCAGATGTTTTTTAATAATATCAAAGATATCATCGCAGGATGTCCGCTGTTCCAAGCAAAGTTGCCTTCTGCAATTGACCGATGGAGACATTGTCAATGCTAGCGTTATGGTTGATCATCCAGATGTTTAGACTGGATTTGGTGTTTTCGTCCAACTTTTGAGTCCTTCCTAAGGACTTGGGATAGGCAAATGTTGTTTGAGGGTATTAGAGGTATCATTGCAGGCTGTCAGCTGTTCCAAGTCAAGCAGCCTTTTGTAATTAACCGACATTCTTGTCAATGCCGATGGTGTTCCAGATCTTTGGGGATTCTTACGATTATGCTTTGATTGCACAGTCAGCCAGATGTCTGGCCTGGATTTGACAGCTTTACCCACCCGTTGAGTCCTCCCCGAGGACTTAGGATAGGCCAACGTTTCTGTTTGATTGTCTCAAAGGTCTCATTGCCGGATGTCAGCTGCTCCAAGCAAAGCTGCCTTTTGAAATTGACCGACTGGGATTTTTGTCAATGCCGATGATATCCAAATGGTGCTCCAGACGTTTTGGGGGGGTTACACCCCAGGCACCTATTGTCTCTAAATTAGTTGGGCAGAGTATTTCCTCCTTTGTGAGTCTTCTTCCTTGTTGTCTTCCTCAGGCTTTGAATATCGCTTGAGGGAATTATGCAAGGATCTGTTAGGTCCTGTCCACTCTTCCTCGGGAAGTCAGTGGGAATCAACCGTCGTGGTAAGTGTTGCTTCTTTTTTTTTTTTTTTTGGGGGGGGGGGGAGAGGAGACACATAAAAATTGTATTTCCCTCCCTCCCTAACTCAGTTGCATCAGCCTGACCGCCTCCCTCCCTCCCTCTGGCTCACTTTTCTAGTCACACAGAATGGAACATGTGACATACAAATAGTCCTCGACTTACGACCACAATTCAGCCCTAAATTTCTGTTGCCGACTGAGACATTTTTGTTGAATGGATTTGGTCCTATTTTGCGACATTCCCTTGCCACAGTTTGTTTTAGTCACGGCGGCCATTAAGTTAGTACCTGAGCTCTTAAATGAATCTGGCTTCCCTCCCCTCGTTGACTTCGTTTGTCAGAAGGTCGCAAAAGAGGACCGTATGGCCCCAGGGATGCTGCGGCCGTCATAAATAGGAGTCAGTTGCCAAGCATCTTAATTTTGATCGGGAGACCATGGGTCATAAATGTGAAAAACGGTCTTACGTCCCACGTTTTTCAGTGCCGTTGTAACTTCGAATGGTCACTCAAACGAACTGTTGTAGGTCAAGGACTACCTCTGTCGTACAGTGTCTTGGGAACAGATTTTCATTTTGGAAAGTACCGTAGAAGCTTTCTTCCCGAGTCTCTTTCTATAGAAATAGGGTGTTTCCATGCAGACAAGCAACAGGGAACAGCTCAGCGCAGTGTCCATCCTGCTTCTCTGACTTTGATTTCCATAACTATCCTGACCTAGGCTTCACAAAATCACGAAGCAGACTCTTCCTCCCAACAAACCCCTCTTTATTAAGCTAATGTGAATTCACAACTACAGATCTTATCGGGCTCGGAGAGTTGCCAGGCCGATAGCTTCCAAGCACAATGCTGTACCAGACAATAATTGGCAAGAATGCAGGAACAGATCTTCACCCAAATGAACTAATTGTCTCCTGCAAAACTCCACTCCCCTTTAAGTCCTCTTTGATTCCCTATGGGAGGGGCCATTCACTGTCCACCTGTAGCTTTACTCCCAAGTCGACCCTTGTTCCTTAGCTGTTCCCTTCTCCTGGCAGCTCTGTGCATGTGCACATTGGGAACAGGCTCCAGCTGTTCTTCTGCCCCACTGATCTCCGACTCCCAGGTGGCCCTGGCCCCATCTCTGCCTCCAACGTAGAGCACTGGTCCGAGCCTTCCCCAGACTCCAGGACTGGCCCACGTTCTTCTCCAACCTCCTCACTTTCTAAGTCTGCTGCTGCCAGCTCAACAGTGCCACAACAGTGACATGCTTATTTGTGTGCGTTTGTTTCATGCAGGGCTTGAGGAAACGGGACCTGCTCAAGGAACTGTTGCCCGTCATCGGGCAGAACCTTCGTTTCCAGCGACTTTTTACGGAATACCAGGAGCAGCTGGACATTTTGAAAGACAAGTAGCCTCCTCTGAGATCTTTCTCCAGCCTATAGGAGAGCAGGGAAGAAGAAGCAGAGGGTCCGTTGGCCGAAGCTAACACTCCTGGAAAAAGACGCGGGGCAGGAACCACATGGGGGGGGGGGGAGTCTTTTAACAAGCTAAAATGTTGCCGTTTTTAAAAGAAGATCACGAGAGGGAAGTGTGAACATTTGGGGAAGCAAATGTGCTTCTGCTGGTCTTTCACAAGCATCACAGCTTGTAGCTGTCAGGGCACGAGAATGGTCTTCAAAGAGAAGAGACTGTTGTATTCCAGATCTGATATACCAGATATCAAAGAGACACTTTTTTGTGTGTGTGAGCCTTTTGAATATCCTTTGAAAAGCACATTACAAGAAGCTAAACTGAATGTCATACAAAGCCCTCATTTCGGGGTTCTTTACTGAGGATTTATGTATTGGGGAGGCAAAGGTGGAGCCTCCCCAAATCCTGAAATTCCTGCAGAGTTATGCAGCCCACAAACTCTTGAAATTGTGGATAACAATTCGAAACCAGAGGCTGTTGGATCACCATGGACTATTTTTATACTAGAATTTGCTAACTTGTAATATGAGAATTTTATTTGGCCAATAATTCCCCCGTCCCCCACCCTCTCCCTCCACCCAAAAGTCCTCTTGTATCAAAACGTAACTTCATTAATTATGACAGCTACGTTGCTGAACAATTGTACCAAAATAAATGTCTCTCTCTTTTTTTTTAACTATTTGTAAAAGGTATTGGCAAAATGGGAAGGGATAGCTAAAAACGGAAAGGGTTTGGGGAGGGAAGGCATTTTTTTTTTGTAAGTACAATTAATAAATGAACATTGCATTGATTTCGGAACATACGTGAATCTCTTTGTGCTGCTTGTGGTAGCGTTAAACTGTACAGGCCTCCACCTGTAAAAACGAATCTTGAACTCGGCGTTCGAATAGTCGGTTTTATTTATTTTGAGCCATGGGTCTTTGTGTAGCACCAGTCCAAAGCAGTTTACTAAGCAAGGAAGATAATAACAGATTACAACAATGAATAACACATGACATAATGAAGCAACACTCATGTAAACAGCTTTCCTGATGTTACATGTCCAATGGTCTCCAGAATGTTACATGTACTGTATAATCTTGCTGGTTTTAAGATCCCACCACCATTTGCAACTGTATATTCTGTCCTGTAATAAATGTGTCTTTTTTTTAATCATTTCCAAGGAATACTAGTTGGGGATTTCCAGACAGGATTTTCAACCTAGTTTGTTAGGAGGGATTCTTCTAAAAAGCCACATAATGTTGTTTTAGGGAGATGGGTCAGATTTGACAGATGGGAAAAAGAATGGGACAGACACATCTTTTTTTAAAAGCTTCTCTACACATTCCAAGGAAAGAGATTAAAAATTTAGTATATTATAGTCCAGTTTAAGACTGGGGAGATTCAGAACAGAGTCCTCACTCCGCCATGGAATTCACGATATACCTTGAATTGTTTCAAGGATGGAAATGCAACAGAGTTAAATGATGTTGGATGGAGAGTTCGTCATGACTAGATCTTCTAAAACAGGACAAGTAATATATGCTGTGTTGGCTTATAAAATTCTCCATGAGAGTAGGTAGGTGCATTTAGATTGCTTCGTGATATTTATTGTCACCCATCCAGACTAGGAAAAGCTGATAAGAGAGTAAAGTCAAAATTGGAGAAAATTCTGAGAAGCATTCTATCAGTCATCTTCTATGTACTGGTTTTATAGCTGAATCTCGGAGGTGAACTGAAGAGAGATCCATATTTATTACTGGAAAAAAATAAAAATGCTTTTTTTAAAGAGTGGCATTGCTTCCCTTTCTTCCTATAGAATGAGCGTAGAACAAAGTAGGAACAGCAAGCTACTCTCAGTTAAGCTTATGAATTTATGCATGTCTACATTGTTTTTGGCAACAATAATGAAGTGGTTGGGCAGATGCCTTAACCTCAATTTAGCTTAGAGTCCTTCAATCAGAATAGAGCTGAAAGGGACCTTGGAGGTCTTCCAGTCCAACCCCCTGCTCAAGCAGCAGACCCTATGCCATTCCAAACAAATGGCTGTCCAGTCTCTTCTTAAAAACCTCCAGTGTTGGAGCACCCACAACTTCTGGTGGCAAGCCGTTCCACTGGTTGATTGTCCTCCCTGTTAGGAAGTTTCTCCTTAATTCAAGGTTGCTTCTCTCCTTGAATAGTTTCACCAGCCAGCTGAAGAAATATCCACCTTTATTACAGGATATTTTGTTTAAAAAAAATCCATTCTGGTTTGGCAATTCTGCGAGTCAGAGCCCATACATCTCAAAGTTGCCAAGGTTGTCAGTCTCTGCCCTTAAGTAATAAAAGAAGAAGAAGAAGAAGAAGAAGCAGAATCTATACCTATTACTATATGTGTTAATATCCCTGTTTGTTCTTTCTTCTGTAAAGAATATGCCCCGACAATACACTTGAATAAAAAAACATATACCAAAACAAGAAGAACAAGCGGAACCTTTAATAGCAGCTTCCTGTTTCCCCAGTGGGGGACTGTTTTGCGCGCTGTACCGCGCTAAACCGGAAATAGAGCCGCGGAGTGTCTTTTCCCGGAAGTGGAGCTTTTTCGGGCAGCGTTTGGCTTTAATCGCCGGGGGATTGCGGAGCGGAGGAAGGGAGACTCGCCACCGCCGCCGCCATGGGGAAAAGGCAGCACCAGAAGGACAAAATGTAAGCGAAGAAGAACTGAAGGGGCGGTGGGGCGCCTTGGAAGCTCTCCGGAAGTCGGTGTGGCGGTGAAGGTGGCATTTGTGTCCAGCCTACCTGGCAGGGAGGTTGTTAAAGGGAGGAAAAGGGTTGGTGGAAGGGTTTCAGTCCGGGCACCGCCTCTTTTTGGCTTTAGACTGTCCTGGCAAAGCTGAAGGCGAGGTGGGAAGCCAAGGAACTATTCACTGTGATAGACTAGGTAGGTAGGTAGGTAGAGAAACTGAAATAGTGATAGACAGACAGATAATAGAAACAGATAAACTGAAATAAGGATTGATAAATGATAGAAAGATAGAGAAACTGAAATAGTATAGATAGATAAACTGAAGTAGTGATTGATAAATGATAGAGATAAACTGAAACGGATTGATAAATTATAGATAGATAAACTGAAATAGGTATAGAGATAAACTGAAATTGATAAATGATAGAAAAAGATAAACTGAAATAGGTATAAGATAGAGATATAAACTGAAATAGCGATTGATAAATGATAGATAAACTGAAATAGGTTTAGAGATAAACTGAAATTGATAAATGAGAGAAAAAGATAAACTGAAATAGGTGTAAGATAGAGATATAAACTGAAATAGGGATTGATAAATGATAAGATAGAAAAGATAGATACATAAATATGTAGATACGCCTGACAGGCAGATATAGTTATAGAATGTATTGTGTGTGTATATGTATGTGTGTGTGTTTATACATAACATATACATGCACATGTACACAGGAGAGAGAGAGAGAGAGAATATATAAAACATTCAGTTTATAGAGATCCCCTGAGGGAGTGGACCCTGGTAGATGGTTATCTGTTGGTTAACAGGAAGTCGCTCTCTTGTGTGTTTGTATATGTGGATTTTGTTCTTTAAGCTTTTTAGCTCATTTTGGTTGTATTTTCATTTTTATCTGTTTGGATTGTTTTATTGTGTACCCCACCCAGAATCGCTGTTTGATGAGCAGCTATATAAATGCAATAGATAGTTAGGTAAATGTAGCCCAATGGGACAGATAGACAAATAGATACGATTGATAGGTAGATAAATGTGATAAACAAATGTGACAGACAGACAGATATAGTTATGAGAAGGTAGGAAGATAGATATGATAGAGATATATATGATATAGATATGATAGAATAGGAAGATAGATGGGTGGGTGGATAATAGGTTGATTCTCCTCAAAGCATGACTGTTATGGTATATTTCCCATCACTCCCCTGTGTTACATAGTGATTTGGCTCCAGTTTTCCACCCTTTCTTCACGTGCTTGCACGCACACACCACAGACATGATGGTGATTAATCTGCAGTACCCAATGCCACTAATTATGGCAGTTTAACTTGGTTAGCGTAGTATGCCATAGTGCAAGAGGTGTAGAATGCCCTGTTGAGGTAGACTATTCCCACACCCATCACATTTGGGTGTGCAATATTAGAGAGGACCATTAGATGGCAATGGAAAAAAAACAGAATTCTTGCCACCTGTTGCCACCTGTTGGTTTACAGACCAGGTAGGATATATTCTAATCTGGCTCCATCTGTTGTATGCAAAAGGAACAACTGTAGGGAATGTGCTTAGTCTAGCAGAGTTTCTCAGCTTTGGAGATTTTAAGAAATCTAAAGTTCAACTCAAGATTTCAACTAGAGTTGAAGTGCACACATCTTAGTAGCCAAGTTTGAGAAACACTGCCCCAGCATGTCAGGAAGGACATAAGAGTCTGTAATTAGAACCCAATGCTTCAATTAGCTTATCTGCCTGCCTTCTAGCTACATAAGTCAAGGTACATATTCATCTAATTGTCTCTTTCTCTTTCAGGTACATAACATGTACAGAATATACCCATTTTTATGGCGGAAAGAAAGTTGGTATGTGACTAGACTTGTTGAATTTTTGCCTCATTTGCATATCTAATTTATATTTTGGGTCCCCCTTCCCCAGGGCATTCAAACCAGGATCTGCCTCCTGTTATCCTAGTTGTAAGATAGGCTGAACTAAAAGGGAGATTGGCCAAAGTCACTTAATTACAATGTATTTATAGGGTATTCATGCAAAGATGAATATGTGAATGTGTGAGACATTTTTTTTTTT